TTAATCTAAAGACAAAAAATAGTTACAGTATTAAATTCAACTTTCCTGATATGTTCAGTGAAGACCTATGGTAAATAACCTCAGGTGAGTAAGCATCCTGACAAATTTCAGGGTTTTGGTGGCAATAAAAATAAACTTCCTACTTTCAGAAAGAAGAGTTGAAATCATGAGTTTTGATTTCTAAATCTGTACAGATCACATCTGTGAGGTTGATTGTCTCAGAACTGCCATCTTTTACACATGTATACGTATTTGTTAGCAAGGGCTGGGTTATGCTGTGGTTAAAACCCCAGAACCATCGCTTGAAACATCGTGCCCATCATAGGTCAGCTAGGGCTCTGTGCCACATCGCCATCAGCCTTCCTCCAGAACCTGAGCCAATGAAGCTGTCACCATCTGGAGCACTGCTGGTCCTCACTGCAGAGGGGAAAGAGCTCAGGAGGGTCTTGCACCAGCAGTTAAATCTTCCAACCTAGAAGTGGCTGATGGCTCTTCACCTTGCTCATTGGCCAGCATCGGTCATATAGTTCACTTAACTTATTTGTTCTATGACCTAAGCCTCAGCTTCCTCAACTATAGAATAAAGATGACAGTAGAATCTACCTCACAAGGGTTATGATGATTAAATAAGAGGATACAGGTAAGTAACTTAGAACAGCACTGTCCAATGGAACTTTCTGAGATGATGGAAATGTTCTATATCTAACTGATGCAGTAGCCACTAGCAACAGCTGGCTGTTGAGTGCTTGGAATATAGCTAGTGTGACTGAGGAACTGAATTATTAATTTTGTTTAATTCTAATTAATTTAAATTTACATAGCCACATGTGGCTAGTAGCTATTGCATTGGACAGTGCAGATTTAGAAAACTGCCTGACACATAGCAAGCATTCAACACGTGTTAGATCTAAGTGTCAAATCGTTATAGACTGAGTGAGAGAAAGGAGAATTGACTCAGGAGTCTGGGAAAACGGGAAAGGCCTGGACTCAGGGAGGCATCTCCATACAGAGCAGGGCCCCTTCACTTTACCTTTGGGTGATGGCTTCCAAGAGAAAAGCTGCCATCATCTAAAAGAGAAATTGGGGACACCATGTTCTTTTTAGTCACCTTTGCCTGGTAGAAAAGGTCACTCCTCACAGAGACAACCAGCCTAAGGAAGCAGCCCCAAGGGGGAGGCTTGTGGGTGAGTGCTCACTACCCCTTCCAGGCCTCTGTGGCTCAGGGTTGTTCCCATTTTACTGCTAGTCGCCCAGTGTCCTCATGCTGAACCTACCACCCATCCTTGTCCTGCCTGGAGTTTGGTCCTCCCTTCCTATTAAATCTGTGTGTAGTCACTGCAATAGTTTCCTAGGGTTGCCATCTTAGTTGTCCTGGCTGCTATAAAAAAAATGCCACAGACTGACTGGCTCATAAACAACATTTATTTCTCACAGTTCTAGAGGTAGAGAAGTCCAACATCAAGGCATTGGCAGTTTCCGTGTCTCATGAAAACCTGCCTCCTGGTTCATAGACGGCTGGCTTCTCACTGAGTCTTCACTTGGTGGAGGGGGGCAAGGGAGATTTCTCAGGCCTCTTTTATAAGGCTCCACCCTCATGACCTAATCACCTCCCAAAGGCCCTGCTTCCTTGCAGGTTAGAATTTCAACATGAATTTTGGGGGGACACCAACATTCAGACCATAGCAGCTGCCATAACAAAGTACCACAAACTGGGTGGCTTGGAACAACAGACATTGATTCTTTCAGAGATCTGAGGCTAGAGGTCCCAAATCAAGGTGTCAGCAGGGCCAAGCGCTCTCTGAACGCTCCAGGGGAGACTCGGTCCCGTGCCTTTCCTTTAGGTCTGGAGTGCGGACAATCCTGGGCTTTCCTTGACTTGTAGACACGTCACTCCGATCTCTGTCTCTCTTGTCACATGGTGTTCTCCCTATGTATGAGTGTCTCTGCTCTTCTTGTAAGCACACCAGTCATATTGAATTAGGGCCCATCCTAACTCAGTGTCACCTCATCATAATTTGATTACTTCTGCAAAGACCCTGTTTCCAAGTTAGGTCAAATTCACAGGTATTGGGTGTTAGGACTTCAACGTATCTTTTTAGGGGACACAATTTAACTGACAACGGTCACTGTTCCTTACAGCCTTATTTTCTGCTGAGTAGCAGCTACTTTATTTGTCACAATATTGAGGAGGATATTTATTCCGTGTACCCAGCATCCCTTCCTTCTTCTGGGAATGGCTAGGCTGCTATTAGCACATAAGTTGTCTTGTTGTTGTTTTTTAGAGGTTTTTGTGAGGAAGTTTGGCCTTGAGCTAACATCTGTTGCCAATCTTCCTCTTTTTGCTTGAGGAAGATTGTCGCTGAGCTAACATTTGTGCCAATCTTCCTCTGTTTTATCTGGGTTGCCTCCACAGTGTGGTTTGACAAGCAGTGCTAGGTCTGCACCCAGGATTCAAAGCCGCGAACCCCAGGCAGCTGAAGCAGAGTGCAAGAACTTAACCACTATGCCATGGGGCTGGCCCCAACACATAAGGTGTTTTCGTGCAAACCTTTTAAAAAGGTACCTCACCTGGTGGACTCATTGCAAGATTTGCACCCACTCTGTGTGGACGAGTTACAAAAGTTTGCACCCTCCCTTTCTGCTCACACAAGGAAGTGACATCTCCACACCCCCGATTTTGTGTCTACACTGATTACAGAGTTGGGTTTTGTCTCTTGCAGCCAAAGAATCTTGACTGACATAGATGTTACTGGGTGTGGTACATTGACCTGTTGCCCCTTACAAATAATTTCCTGAAGGTGGTCCATTAACCTAAATGAGGTTTCCAAAGGTGATGAATTTGGGGCCCTGTGCCCACCAGCACAGGCTGATGGTTTGGGTAGTTAGGGATCCAGATGCTCCTCCAAGTTCACGGTTTCGTTTCTTCCATATTACACCTGTGGCAGATGCTGCTCTTGCCCACCCACATCCCCTCACTTTGACCCCTTCAGTGGGCACTGCCCTCTTCTAGCTGCCGGAGCCCACTTTGCCCATCCACAGGACAAGCGAGAGTGCTCAACAATTGTCACCCCCATGGGAGTGGTCCTTGATGTCTCACTGATGGAGGGTGGCATATTCAACAGCCCAGCTCCCTCTCCCCGCAGTGGGACATTCTGAAACGTGTTCTGTGCTGGCTCCCAGAGGTCCCCTTCGGACACGGCTCCCGTTCTCTGAGTGGTAGTTTACTGGATAGTTCACCCTGATTGTGTGCTTTCCCTCCCCCATCTCCACCTCTCCTCCCACTGGTGTTTCCTGGGATCACCTCCCACATAAACTACTACTCAGTCCTTGTCTTAGAGTCCATTTCTGGGGATTTCCACACTAAAACAAGACTTATGCATAGGGTCACCCCAGGAATTAGTGGCCCTAGTCAACCAGATGGCCTCAGGTAACCCCTCTGGACTTCAGTTTCTATCTGGAAAGAGAGGTGCTCTAGAGGAGGATTTTTTTTTTAGATAAGGTGTTAGAGAGGCTGATTGGGTGATGGATTTTTTTTTGAAACCCCATTATTTTTTCTCTGACTATAAAACTAAAATCTGACCATTACAAAATTTTGGAAATTACAGTAAACAGGAAAAAATTTAAATTACCCATAATTCCACCATTCATGATATTTTCTTTGAAAATAGAAGGTAAATTGTGGCCTTTTAAACCTTAACATTCTGTGTTTATTTACTTACTTATTTTTCCAGTTGTATTGAGACATAATCGACATGCAATACTGTATAAGTTTCAAGTGTACAGCATAATGATTTGACTTACATATGTGGTGGAATGATTATTACAATAAGTTTAGTTAACATCCATCATCTCATATAGATACCAAAAAATAGAAAGAAAAAAAATTGTTTTTCCTTTTGATGAGAAGTCTTAGGATCTACTCTCTCAATAATTTTCCTATACATTGTGAGAGATCAGAATTGGCCACTCCAAAATGTGTCTCTTTGGCTTCACTATTTTTACAGACAAAAGACTCTGAAAGATACTTTGAACTTCCCCCTAATTGCCAAAAAGAATTTAAAATAGAAGTCCTGTCCCCAGAACAGGACATCACCATAGATAACTCTGGGTATGATAGACTGGGAGAATCCTGGCTAAGCCCATTTTATTGAATGTCACGTTGTCTATAAATGGCCCAGCAAACATTTGTTTATCAAACATTTGCTTTTCCATCTCCATGTGAATTGCCTTCCTCCCCTTTGCAGTCCCAAACCACTACCCCCAACATCCTCCTGTGTCTTTAGCTGAAGATTGTATTTAAGGTGGTGTCTTTGGCCATTTTGGTGAGTTACTCAGTTTTCCTGGGTTTCTCCCATGTGTACGTGTTATTAAACTTTGTTTTATTTTCTCTTGTTACTCTGTCTCACGTCAATTTAATTCTTAAACCAGCCAGAAAGACCTAGAGGGTAGAGGAATAGTTCTTCCTCCTCTGTAACATCATACAGCAGTATTAGCAATAGTCATTGTGTTGTACATTACATCCCTTGTATTTATTTACCTTATAACTGAAAGTTGGTACCTTTCGATCATTTCATCCAATTATCCCATCCCCTCTGGTAACCGCAAATAAGTTCTCTTTTTCTACAAGTTTGATTCTTTGGGTTTTTTGTTTTTTTAGATTTTTTAAAACATTTTTTAGATTCCATGTATAAGTGAGAACATTCTGTGTTTATACTTTGGCCATGCAGAAGGACTATGATCCAAAGATTTCTGCAATGATTTTATTGCTGTGTGTAGACACAGCTTGATATAAATTGCTTGTACCACATAAGGAGGAAGTGCTCGACCCTTACGTAACAGAACAAGAAACTCTGAATGTAAACAGGGCTCTCTTTGTCAAGGAACGGAAATTGCTTACCAACTAGTGCTTTCAAAATTCAAACCAGGAGTTTGGAAAAAAAATAGGAAGTTACAGAATGTAATAGAGAGGATTAGGAAATGAAAATCTATAGCCTCAGCATGAAGTTTATCTAGACAATCGGACTATTTTTCTCAAACTGTGAGGAAACAAAGGGCTGGATCAGGACAAATCCAGTTAAAAAGATTGATTTCTGATCATAAGAAGACCTGGAGTGTGGACCATGCAGTGAGGCAGAAGTGAGGTCTGGTTGTATTTTTTTAAAATGGCAGAAACATTTTGAAAAGGCAACATACATATAGATAGGCTGAGACCGGGTAGAAATAGCATGGAAGATAACCCCAGAAAGTAAGAGGAATCATAAGAAAAACTTTAACTCCGTGATGGTAACAGCGTTAAGATGAAGACTTGGGTTCAAGCCATTTCTTTGGGAGAGGACACACAAAGCCCAAGTGAGGAAGTGGGGAAGGTGAGACAGGGAAGAGAGGAAAGCTTTCAAACATGGCTTCCTGTTGCAGGTAACTGAGGCTTGGTTCCACTGGGGACTCCAGCAGAAGAAAGACCAAGTGGAGCCCAGCCGCAGTTGTTGAGTCATGAGGGCGCAAAATGGTTGTTGGTTTAAACCACTGAATTTTGAGGTGGTTTCTTTATGAAGAAATAGGTAACTGATAGAGTGGGGAAGACTGATGAGGTAGGCAGAACGCCCCAAAGATATCTACTTCCTAATCCCTGGAACTGTAAATATGTTATATTATGCAACAAAAGGGACTTTGTAGATGGAATTAAGGTTAATGACCTTAAAATAGGGAGATTATCCTGGATTATCTGGTCCCAAGTTTTTATCACGTAAACTCTTATAAGTAGAGAACTTTCTCCAGCTGCAGTCAGAGAGAAGAGGCAGAAGGAAAAGTTGGAGAGGTTCAAAGTATAAGACTTGACCCGCTTTTGTTGAAGGGGGCCACATAGAAAGCATGAGAAGAAGTGTGGGAAGTGTTGAAGGAGCAAAGACTGGCCCTCGCTGACAACCAGAAAGGAAACCGGGACCCCAGTCCTACAACCACAAGAAACTGCACTCAGCCAACAACCTGAATGGGCTTGGAAGCTGATCCATCCACAGGCCCTGCTATCCCCTTGATTACAGCTTTGTGAGACTTTAAGCCAAGGACTCAGCAGAGCCACGCTGTACCTGGACTTCTGACCTACAGAACTGTGAGATAATGAGTGGGTGTTGCTTCAAGCCACTATGTGGTAATTTGTTACAGAGGCTACGGAAAACCCACACCCAATGTGTAAACTGACCGCCGCAAGACAATGAGAGCAACACGACCTTCAGGGAGTGTGCCGCCAGCAACGGGCAGAGGGGGAAACAGCCAACTCCAAAGGAAAGTGAAGAAGACTTTTTGGAGAAGGAGGAGTTTGAACAGGGCTTTGAAGGAGCAGTGTCTTAGGTCAGATTCCCCCAGAAGCTGACCCTGCGACAAAGATTTGAGAGCAAGCAGGTGTTTTAGGTGATAATCCCAGGAAATACTAGTAGAGGAGTGAGAAAGTGAGACAAGGAAGGGAAGGAAATAAAAATGAATAATCAAGTAAGTTAACAACTGTAGGCAAATGGAGCTTAATCCTTCTGGGGGATGCTGGGAAGCAGTGTAGACTATACTACAGAACCACCATATTAAGGGACAAAAGGACAGGGTGTTGATCAACTCCCATCATCGTTGGCTGAGAGCTTCTCCTGGAGGCGTTAATTTCCTGGCACTTCCGGCCTGCCATGTGTGTATGTGGAGCAGGTGCCACAAACTTCAGAAAACTCTCTGGCAGAAAATTGCAAGTGCTGGCAGTTGGAAGTCTGGCTGACATCAACTGAACTCTTGGGGGCCAAGGGAATGTGGGAGGACACCTACAACATCTGCTGCAAGGGGTGAGGGTTTGCCAGGCAAAGGCCGGAGAAGGTGTTCCAGGCAGAGGGAGACAGGTATGCCCAGAGAGGCACAAAACACATGTGAAAGAGTGTCAGAAAGTGGTCAGTGGAGTCGAGTTTAAAGTCAGACAAACAGGGGTTTGAATCCTGATTCCACCACTTCACTGGCTGTTTCCTTGGGTAAGTTACTTCACTGCTCTTTCTGTTATCTATACAACGAGTATCATATATAGTACCTGTCTCTTTGGGTTGTCACAAGGATTAAATTAGATGATGGGGTTTTTTTTGGTGAGGAAGATGGTCCCTGAGCTAACATCCGTGCCAATCTTCCTCTATTTTGCATGTGGGGTGCCACCACAGCATGGCTTGATGAGTGGTGTGTAGCTCCACGCCTGGGATCCGAACCAGTGAACCCCAGGCTGCCGAAGTGGAGCATGTGAACTTAACTACTGCACCACCGGGCTGGCCCCTAGATAATGTCTTAAAATGGATCAAAGATCTAAACATAGGAGCTAAAACTATAAAACTCTTCAAAGAAAACATAGGACAAAATCTTTAGGACATTGGATTTGGCAATGATTTCTTGGATATGACACCAAAAGCACAGATGACAAAAGCAAAAATAGACAAATTGGACTCCATAAGGGCAAGCTTTTGTGCATCAAAGAACATATCAACAGAGTGAAAAGGCAATCTACAGCAAGGAAGAAAATATTTGCAAATTACATGTCTGATAAGGGATTAATATTCAGAATATATAGTTGTAGATAAAATTCAGAAAGTCCATAAACTTGGATAGGAAAAGAATTATCTTTATTTTCACTAACTTCTAACTGAAATTGACCTTTCTTTCAATGATGAATGTGGGAAACAAACCACAGTGCTATTAGCAGGAATTGTGACTTTATCTCTGGTGAAATACACAGATATTTCCAGCTTGCAGACTCAGTGCTACTTCAAAAATCTTGGTTTTTTAGACCTTCAGTTAGATTTTAATATTTAATGCGTTAATAAAGAAGCATAAATATCAAACATTTGCTAATTTTTTAATATTTTGATAAGTGCATTTGAATATAATTGTTTCCTTTGTATCCTTATGTATTTTGTTTTATGAATTTAAACACATTATTCTAAGAAGGAGGTCCACACGTTTCACGAGGCCACCAATGGGTCCATGCAAAAAAAAAAAAAGTGACAAGTATAATCTGACACCATGAATTGCAATTATAGGTGACTTTATTGAATGAGGCTGTATTCTATGGGTCATGATCTGACTTGCAGCATTATATGCGTTTATTGCATAATAAATTCCTACTAGTAAGGGTTCTGGCCAGATTTGCATGCTGGGGTGACAAACGTACCACAGTGGTCCTCAGTCTCTCTTCCACTCCACACATCCCTATCAACAGCTGTGGCTCATGTCAGCAATGAGCCTCAGTGAGCCAGAGCCGGGCTTCTTTGGGGACAAATAACGCTGTGTGTAAGGGGAATGCGTGCGTGGGTGGAAAAAGCCCCTCAGGTTTTCTGATAGCATTCTCTTCACCCTCGGCGGCTGCCCTTCTCTCCTTCTCCTTGATAAACTGAGAAAATGAAAATATTGATACGTGATGCTCTAGGTCTAAGAGCTGAAGAGAAGGGGGTCACCATGGGCTCTTTCTGGAAAAGGAGAATTTGAGCAGACTTATTTAAATAAGTGATTATGTTCATGGTGAATCTATTGGCATGAATATAAATTCCAGTTAGGTTAAAAAGGGAGGGATTTCACAGCCAAGCTGATGAGGCAGAGATGCCTAGCTGTCCTTGAAATGCTTTACCTCCGTCTCCTGGGACCTATAGATCACTTTCCCAGTCTCTCTTGCAGTTGGGTAGAGCTGCGGGACCGTATTCTGTTTAATTGCAGGTTGGTGGGTGTGAAGTTCGTCACTTCCAGGCTAGGCTCCTGAAAACTTCCCATCCTCTGTGCTTTTACGCAGTGGGGTTGGTGGGCCTAATATAATCAGAAGGGTCCCTACAAGTGGAAAGACTAGAGAGATCATAACCCCAGTGAAAGAGGATATATCTTTCCCATTAGGACTGGGAAAGGCCTAGACCTGTCTAGGTTGTGTCCTTGTTCTTAAATGAATCATCATGGAGCGGATGATCGATGACTGAGTCATGATTCCACCCCTGGCGTGAGGAATTGGCCTGGTCAGCCTCATCAAAGCATATGGAGTATTGCAGTTTTCCATCTCTGCTGTAACAATTCACCATAAACTTAGTGACTTGAAATAACACAGATTTATTATCTTATAGTTTTGGGAATCAGAAGTCTTAGATGGAAATCACTGGCCTAAAATCAAGGCGTTGGCTAGGCTGCCTGCCTTTCTGAGGCTCTAGAGGAGAATTCATTTCCCTGCCTTTTCTACCTTATAGAGACCACTTCATGTCTTGGCCCCATTCTTCCACTTTCAAAGGCAGTAACCTCCATGTCATGCTGTCATCTTTCTGACTTGAGTTCTTCTGTCCCCCTCTTCCTCTCATAAGGAGCCTTGGGGTCACTTTGGGCTGAGCAGGTAATCCGGGATCATCTCCCGTGTCAAGGTCAGCTGACTGGCTATCTTAATTCCTTCTGCCACTTTAATTCCCCTTTGCCATGCAATCTAAGACAGTTACAGGTTCCAGGGGTTGTGACATGGGTATCTTTGGGAGGCTATTATTTTGCCTCCTGCATAGAACAAACACAATTACAATGAGATGAAGAGAAAGGTGGTTCCCCCAAGGAAGCAATGCTGGGCAGACAAAAAGCATGTGTCCTCTACCATAATTTAAGATTTAAGGGGATGTAGGCAGCCCCCTTGGTGCGCTTCATTTATTTTTTTTTAAGCATTTGTGACAGACATTGTGATGTCCTGTTGGTGACATCCTCTCAACTCTTATGGTTTAAGTGCAGCACCTTTGGTCAGTCAGTTCGTATGCTTTACCAGTATCCTTCATGAAGCATATATGGAAACAGCTCTCTGCTTTCTCTAAGACAGTGGAAGATGGCTTAGTCAAATTCAAGTAACTTGAAAGTGCAACGGAGTTAACACCCTCGGGGAGTTGGGGTGTTCATCTAATGGGGGATGGGATCAATGGCAGAACACTTCTGATGTGCTTTCTCTGTGGTTCTGTCCCAGTGGGATGGAACCTCGGTTGCCCACAGCAGTAACCAGCTCATTAACACACCTGAGTTGACTTTTCTCCCTTCTCTGTCTCACTGTCCCCACTGTCTCACTTCTGCTTCCTGGGATCATCTCCCAAATAAACTACCTGTACCCACGTCTTTCTCTCTGGTTTTGCTTTGGGGGGAATCCAACAAAGATGGCACTTAGCACTGACGTCTTATGGAGAGTTAGTGATGCAGGTCTCTGCAGGGTAGCACCCAGTCAGTACAAACAGTACAGCTTGTTTACAGGCATCTGTTCTGACTGGCTGGCATCCATTTGGTTGGCTTCCAATGCCACACAGGTCATCTTCCACTAATGAGGTCTGTCAGCACCATAACATAAATGACTGTCCCTGATGTCCTTCTTGGCTGGTTATGAGGTTCTAGCTCAAGATATGTGGATAGGGAATAAAAATATCTTAAGATGCAATCCCAGTGGGACTTGTGCTAAAAGGTCTGTATACTTAAAAAAAGGAGGAGAAAAGGTTATCTGAGGTTGTCTTTTTTTTTCCCCCCTTCAGTTCAGGCTGAGGTCAGGGTTGTTTATCTGAATTCTGGCAATAACCCCGGGAATTTATTTAGGTGCCAAGGGAAACATGAGGGCAGTGGACTCCAGAAAGACTGTGCTCCTAGGCACACAAGACAGTAGGCATGAACCCAGAGGAAGACACCAGGGCCTTGCTGTAGACGCAATAAATGCCTGGTGATTTAGGGGGGTCACTCATTCTTTGCCAGCTAATGTGGACATCATTTAACCTACATGCTAGAGGGACATAAGGGAGAAGGCGAAGATGCAGATTTCAAGACTTTTACCAGCTCTCTGTGGTACAGCGCCCTCCTCTCTTCCCAGATGCAGCATGCAACCGTTCTCTTAGGAAACCTTGCCCCCTCCTCCAGGTGCTGGCAGAGCTGAGAATGGGGTCTAGGACTCTTAGCACCCCTGCCCAGTGTTGGGGAGGCAGACTCTGAGATGAAGAGCTGCATGTAGGAAGTTTGTTGGGGAGTGTTTGGGGGACAACATCTTTTGGGGAGTAAGGGAGGGAGGTTTGGCAGATCCGGAAGTTGGGCTGTGATGCTGTTAGTATAGAGGCCTCAACCAATCCTATCGGGAGCTCTGGAGCTGGGGTGGCCCTTCAGGGTTGTCCCGAATTGAGGCTGCCAGTCTTTGGTCACAGGCTACCACCAGGAAGGGCACGTGGTTGTGGTCAAGGCAGCCACCAGAGGCCAACCCCCTGGCACCTGAGGGGATAAGTGTCTCGGTCCTGAAGAGGGAATCTTGGCCAGGTGCCAGAGCAAGCATTACTGTACTACTGCCCCCTTGTCTCTCAAAGACTCTCATCCTACCCCAGTCTTCAGTGACCTTCAGCCTTCCCCAGAAACAGGAAGAGTTGCTTTTACCTTGTAGATCTGAGGGCTGGCTACACAGGGAAAATAAAAACAAATTTGCATTTCAATCAATTATCCTGGCCTACAAGTGGAGTATTTCAGTGGCTTCAAAGTATTTTCACAGACATAGTCTAACTTAATCTTTGCATTAATGTTAACATTCACAATTAACTTTAGATAGGGTGAAACAGTTCCCATTTTACAGATAAAAAAGCTGAGGTTTGCAGAAGGTAAATGACCAAATGGCCAGGAGAGGAACCTAGCCTGGAGGCCAGGCCTTCTGACTTTCATTCTAGTATTGTTTCTATCCTGCAAGAGCAAAACATACCTTGAGTTATCCCATATACGCTGGTGGGGGAGACCCCCAGCAGTCCTGGTTTCACTCCAGGGCTGCCACAAAGAATGGCAATTTAGGAAACAGTTTCTTTATAAAGATGAGAACCTTCTAAGGGCCCCATTTAAATCCAAATGCCCCAGGAAGGAAGGAGGATGCAGGTGTACCTGTGGTACAAGCTCTCTTCCTTCGGGGACAGCAGGGAGGTCTGTGGAGAGAGGACACCAGAGAAGGACAGGGCATGAAGGTCAGGAAGAAGAGCTGGGCAGAAACAGC